AGGACTGACAGGATGGGCTTTGGGGCTGTGAGGAGAAGCTGAGGGACCTGGGTTGATGCATCTTCTGAAGAGGAGGCCCAGGGCTCCTCCTGCAACTGCTCCAAGGGTGGTTTCAGAGAATCACACAATCAGCAAGGTTGGAAAAGACCTTGGAGATCATCAAGTCCAACCTCTGTCCTGACACTGCCTTGTCTCCCCTGAACCTTCTCTTCTCCTGGATAAACAACCCCAGCTCCTTCAGCCGCTCCTCACAGGAATTGTGCTCCACACACCTCACCAGCCTTGTTGCCCTTCTCTGGACATGCTCCACCCCTCCATGTCCTTCCTAAATTGGTGGCCAAGAACTGGACACAGCACTCGAGGTGCTGCCCAACCAGTGCTGAACACACAGGAAGAATCACTGCCCTGCTGCTGCTGGCCACACCATTCCTGATCCAGCCCTGATCCATTGGCCTTCTTGGCCACCTGGGCACACTGCTGGCTCATGTCCAGCCTGCTGTCCAGCAGTCCCTCCTGGCCCCTTTCTGCCTGGCTGCTGTCCAGCCCCTTTGTCCCCAGCCTGTAGCACTGCAGGGGTTGTTGTGGCCAAAGTGCAGGACCCGGCACTTGGACTTGTTAAACCTCACATTGCTGGATTTGGGACCTCTGCAGAGTCCTCCTACCCTCCAGCAGATCAACATTCCCAGCCAGCTTGGTGTCACCAGGCACAGCCTGTCCCCCTGGCCCAGCAGCAGGGACAGGGGGCACGGCCTGTCCCCCTGGCCCAGCAGCAGGGACAGGGGGCACGGCCTGTCCCCCTGGCCCAGCAGCAGGGACAGGGGGCACGGCCTGTCCCCCTGGCCCAGCAGCAGGGACAGGGGGCACGGCCTGTCCCCCTGGCCCAGCAGCAGGGACAGGGGGCACGGCCTGTCCCCCTGGCCCAGCAGCAGCCCCGTGCCCTGCCCAAGGCGCTCCCAGCAGGGGCTGGGCCCCAGAGGCAGGGGGAGACCCCAGTCCCGGGGCAGCGTTTCTGCCCCGTCCCCTGTCCAGCCCAGCCTGCCCCGTGTGCGCAGTGACCGCTGGCACGGGCTGCACTGGACACTGTGACCTGCTGGGGACACTGAGAGCTGCCCCGCTGTGACACTGCCGATAAACATGTTGAGCTAAGACAAGGATGGGGACATGGGGGGGTTCTTGCAGGGGATGTGGGGGATGCTGGGTTTGAGGGACTTGAGGGTTCCTGGGAGGGACCTGGGAGTTGCTCAGGGCTTTGGGCACCCCAGGCTGAGCGGCTCCAGTTGCACTGGGAGACCCTGGTGGAGGTTCTGGGCAGCTGGTCAAGGACCCCCTGCCCTGGAACTGTCCCCATGTGCCCCCATCCCAACGCCTCGTCCCCCTGCAGTGGCTGCCCCATTCCTTACTCCCCTTCCATACTCCCCTTGCCCCTGCCTGTTCCCATGTCCCCCCATCCCGTTCCCGTCCTGCTCCCATCCCAATCCGGACCCCATTCTTGATCCCTGTACCGTATTCCCTGTCCCTGTCCCCATTCCCAGTCCTATTCCCTGTCCCCATTCCTGGTCCCTGTCCCCATTCCCTGTCTCTGTCACCACTCCCAGTCCCTGTCTCCATTCCCATTCCCCATTCCCTGTCCCCATTCCCATTCCCTGTCCCCATTCCCGGTGAGACATTAATTTGGAAGAATTAAGAATTTTAGGAAGTTAAGATGATAGTTAAATTAGATGTTGCTGACTCAGCGGAAGTAGATAAATGGGCTTTGTTCATAGTTAACAGTAGCTGGATCTTAGATAAGATATCCAGGATCTATTAACTCATTGCTTCTCAGCTTTATGTTTGGGTAGCTGTGCTTATCATGAGAAACAGAATGTGACAAACAGATTTCAGGGACACAAAAACAGTTGCAGACTTCCCCTACTTTAGGAATCCATTAAGCACAGGAAAACGGCAAGGATTCATTTGTCACGTGTGCATGGGAAAGGCAGAAAGGTCAGAACGAGGAAGACTTATTTTACTTCTTCATTTTGGAGGCCCCTCCCCAAAATGGACCCCCGACTCATTTCAGGGAGCAGAACTACACATGCTTAATAGCCTTTCTGCCAATTAGCATATGAAGCGGAGCAGAGGAAGTGACAGGGATATGAATATGCATTCATATTTTGTGTATTCAAGACTTCTGTCAATAAAAAAGCTTTGTAATACCTGTGATTTTTGCAGTGTGAATTAGGGAATTGTCCCAGGTACTGCCCGGCTGTCTCAATAAACATACACTTTCTAACTTTAAACTCTTAGAGAGTTTTTGTCTGTCTCAGTTGGATATCGATATTAGATCGATATTCATATTTTAGTAAATCATTGTCTTAAAGAAGTCCTAGTATGTGTATATGTCTTTTCTTAATATTCTAGTAATTATTCTTGCATTGCTTCAAGATAAACTGGTATGATTCAAAGAATATCCACTGAGGTACACATAGAACATGGATTTATCATAAGCAAATTGCAGTTGCAAAGTTTTTTCACTGAAATTCTGCCACTTGTCATCTATTTAAAAGTTAAAGGTCAGCTATTAAAGTCAATAACAAAATTTCTAACTTCTAACAAAGGGAAAAGAATATATGGTTTGCACTAGATAAAATAGAAATACAGAAAATATCTCCCAAACAAGTTCCTTGCTCTGATCAAAACATCTCCCAATCAAGTTCTTCGCCCTGAACCTGGCTGGTAAAGAAAAATATTATCAGTAAGCCTGGATGAAACTTTGCGTAAGTTACTAGTATTCAAAATCCATGTTCTGTTCCTATTATTATTTATTATACAAAGAAAAAAGGGGAAAGGGGTTGGATTGAGGGTACACCCTCCTCCCCTCTGAGTCTGTTCTCATGTTTTACAATAAATCCTACAACAGTACAATACAGCTGCCTAAAATATGGACACTGGAAACCACAGACAGCATTACAAATGATCACCTGCCTCATGGACAGTTCATAGAAGGACTTGATTTGTTTACAAATTATTTCTCATGTTTACAAACAGTTTTTCTGTTTACAGACTGTTTTCTGGGAGTTTGGTTTTTCTCCAAGGGATCAAGTGCTTAAAGATTGTTTTTTAAAATTGTGTTTTTCTCTAAGGGCTAAATGGGCTCAGGGTTAAATAGCTTTCTGCTTTTAGAGATAAGTTCAATTTGTAACCAAGAAGCATTATGCCTGTGGCCTGAGTTCTCCCCTAACAGTTCCTGGAGGGGAATGCTGCAGCTCCAGTGTAAATTAGATGCACGCTGTCCTCTGTCACCATGTTTGCAAAGGGCCCTTGCAGATGGGTGACAGAGAACAATACACAGAATTTTATAAAGAAAAGAAGGGTGAGATGTTACCATGATTGACAGGGCTCTTGACCAATCAAATATCTCCCAAAACTGCAGGCACCTCACGGGCCAGAACCTGAAGGGGCGTGGAGCTCAAAGCAATGAGAGCTTCCAGACCTGGTCTTTCAAATGCCCTGTGTGAGGGGGGGCGTGGGAAATAAAATCTCTCTGTTGCCCCATGAACTCGGGAGGAGCAGTCTTTGTCTCCTGTGCCCTCGCTGCCCCACCAGACCAAAGAGATGTTCACCAGGGCCCTCCCTGTTTGTGGCCGTCCAGTGCCGAGCTGAGCAGGCAGCCAGTTGTGTTTGCACGTGAGCTGCCACAGGAAGACACACAGCAGCTGGAGATTTGAATAGCAGGGCTTGGGCCAATTCTTTTTCTTTTAGAGTGCAAGAAAGACGCAAAAGCACAAGGAAACATGACAGTGTTTCGGTGGATTCTCTTTGTCCTGTGAAGTTGAGTAGCTGTTGGTGTTTCTGTGCTGCTGCTAATCCCTTCCATGAAAAAATCATTCCGGGAAGGAGCAACAACATCTGACACGCACCAAGTGTTGCCACCAGCTGCTCCAGGTGCTGCTACCAACAGCCCCTGTAGGACGGAGCACAGCCCCCAGTGCACACCAAAAGCCAGGGAATCTCAGGAAAATGGGAAACTGGACAAGACAAACACAGATCTGAACCAATGTGGTTAATCAAACGTTCTCCGTTTATTCGAGATAAGATGGTAGTTTATATAAGCTTCTACATAGTTTACAGAAACAAAGGCACTCTGATTGCTAGGCTAACAATGTTTACCTTTTCCTTAAAGTGGCTTGAGCCTTACACTATAAACGTATACTAATTCACACCCAGACAGCCCAGTGGTCCCCGTCACACCTTAATACTATTTCTATCTGCGCCACAAGCTCTGAATTTCTAACTGCGTCAGAGGCTTGAAGGCCTCACAAGGCCCAAATCTGAGGCCTAGGCTGGAGTAGCTCAAATCTCATAACTCATGTCCTCTTTCTCTGAAAAATGCTGCAACACACACCAGCTTTGGCTGCCCTCTGGCAGAGAAGCCCTTTTGGGGCACAGGTTTCTGGGGCAGCAGACGGGCACCGGTGCTGCCAGGGCTCGGGGGAACTCTGCTTCGGCGGGGACTGTGCCTCAGCGGCTGATGTCAGCGCTCCCCGGGCCCCAGGCTCAGAGCAGCATTCCTGCCCTGGCCCACACGTTCCTGGTCTGTGTCACACGGCCGTGCTTAGGATGGCCACCATGTGGGACGTGTCCCGAGGAGGCCGTGCCAGCTTCTGTGCAGGGCCCCGTGCCCTTCCCGCCGCGGCTGCGTCGGCAGCCCTGGGGGCTCCTGCTGCTCTGAGCCCGCAGAGCAGGGCAGCGTTTGCTGATGGTCTGAGCCGTTCCTAAAGATCCTGTTGGGCTGTCTGACACACCTGGGGCAAGGCATTCCTTCCAACCTGGGCCACTCTGGGGGGCTGGGGGTGGCCCCAGGGCAGGTGGCAGAGTGTGCAAGGGCCCTTTGTGACACGGTGCAGCATGGTCACCATGGAATGGAACGGGACAGGGTATCCAAGGGCCCTTTGTGACACGGTGCAGCATGGTCACCGTGGAATGGAACGGGACAGGGTATCCAAGGGCCCTTTGTGACACGGTGCAGCATGGTCACCGTGGAATGGAACGGGACAGGGTATCCAAGGGCCCTTTGTGACATGCTGTGGCAAAGGTGTTGGCAGTGACAAGGCCACTCCACAGTGCTCTGTGCACGCGACGAGACAGGACGGAGAGAGCGGTGCTGTGAGGAGCCTTGGCACAGCCACTCGTTCCTTGCTGACTTGGAGATTTCCCGAGGTATTACTCCTGCAGGTGAGCTTGTGGCCAGACCAGAGCACTTGGTGACCCCTGGCCTTCCCAAGGCATCTCTTCTGCAGCTGCCCTCGAGGGCAGACCGTGGCATTTGCTTTGCACTGTCCTTGACAGGAGTCTCCTGTCCTTGTGGCTGGAGCCCCCAAGACCAGAGTGCAGGACTCGCTGTCCTGTAGCCTTGCCAAGACTTCACTCTTGCAGGTGCCCTCAAGGCACGACTGCAGCACTTGCTGACTCGGACCTTTTCCTTTTCACCTTCTGCAAGTAGCCATGAATCCAGGCAGTGACGCAGAGCACAGACCTGCGAGCGTGCCCAAGCTGGCCTGGGGGAAGGAGGAGAAAGAAGGCCCTGGAGCTGCCCCAGCACAGCAGCCTGAAGAGGTGGAGCAGTTCCAGCCACTGCAGAAGGGTGAGTGGCAGAGCTGGGCCACAGGGCTGGTGCCTGCAGCCAGCTTGGCCCCATGCCATGCCATGCCATGCCATGCCATGCCATGCCATGCCATGCCATGCCATGCCATGCCATGCCATGCCATGCCATGCCATGCCATGCCATGCCATGCCATGCCATGCCATGCCATGCCATGCCATGCCATCCCATCCCCTGGGGCCATGCCCATGGACAGGATGGAATAGGGGCCGGGCAGACACCCCACAGCCGTGCTCCATGCCCTGGGGCGGCGCGGGGCTGTCCCTGCCTGGGCAGCGCAGGGCTGGGCTGTGTTCTCCGGCCTCTCCCGCAGCCCCTCAGCTCGGGCTGCGCTCGCTCTTTGCCAGGTGCAGCCGTGCAGCGCACACGAGAGCAGGAACGCACCCGTGGCCGCTTCCGCAGAACAGCGCAGGTACCTGCAGCCATCCCCACCTGGGCTGGGCCTGCTGGCACTGCTCAGCCCAGCACTGTGCTCGGAGCACTCCATGCAACATCCCGGGCTTCTTGCCCTTCTGCTACAGATGGTTTGCAAATTCATGAAGAGGATTCGGGAGGAAGAGAGCAGCGTCGTGGGCACTGTGGTCAGAGCGTACTCTCCCATCTTCAAAACCAAGACCAGTGCTGCCCTGCTGGATATGCTTGTGGAGGAGGGTCCTTCCAGCCCAAAGCAAGTGAGCAGCCTGTGGCCTGGCTTTTCTCCTCCCAGCAGTTGCGTGGCCTCCCAAGCCACGCCTGCTGCTCCCTGGAAGCCTTTGAGGCCATGGCAGTGTGGTGGCAAGGGAAGCACTTCTCTGGGGCAGCTGGGCACATTCCTTCCTCTGGCAGCTTTCCAAGTCTCCCCTGCCTTCTCCAGGTGCCGGCCATGGTGAGGTACATCCACCAGTGGCTGGTGGCCAATGAGTTTCCTGAGTACAATCTGTACAGGCCCCTTCTGGATCTGACAGAGGCACAGCCCTGTGACGTGGTGATGGCTCTCCTGCGTGTGGCCCCAGTGTGTGACAGGTACGGGGCCCACGTGTCCACAAGGCTCAGCAGCCCTTCACCCTGTACAGCCTGTCCCAGGTGTCTGACCAACAGAGAATTCCAGGGCCCTCTGGCTGCTCCCTTTGCCAGCCCTGGCCCCTGCCAGCCCCCCAGCGTGCTGCCATGCTTCCCCCCTGCCCCTCAGGGGCCAGTCCCCACAGGGCTGGGCTGCCTGCGTGCTGCCAGTGAGGGGCAGTGGGCAGAGGCAGGGCTGGCAGAGCAGCTCAGCTCCCCGCTGCCACCCAGGCCACGCTGCTGTGTCCCAGACTCCTCTGAGACAGAGCTCTGACCCCACAGAGCTGCTTTGGCCATGTGGAAGAGCATCATGTGCTCGCCCAGGACTGCAGAGCCGGCCATGCTCGTACTCCTCGAGGTGCTGGGGAGCTGGCCAGAGCACAGCACGTGCACCTCCGATGGGGACCACACGGCTGTCCTTGCCCTGGCTGTGAGTTTCTGCCTTTGCTGGCCCCAAGGCCACCTCTCCAGCAGCTCTCCATCCTCCCTCCCCCACGGCGTCTCCCTGCCTCAGGCGCTGGGCTGAAACCTGGCCTCGGGGCAGCTTCAGGGCCACCAGGCCCGGTGCTCCCCCTTCGGTGCTCCCCCTGCGTCTCTCCGGGCCTCTCCCTCCCGTACTGGGCCCTGCCACACGGACACCTCGGCACTGAGCGCTGTCTCGGGCTGCTCTGTCCTTTGCAGGCAACCGTGGTGATGTGGAAGATCCTCCAGCTGCCCTGTGTGCCACATGTAGTCACCGTGTGTTTCCCCTGCCTCTTTGTGCATCTGCTCTTCCAAGTGCTCTTCAGCACTCTGGATATGCCAGAGGAGGTCGATACCTTCTGGGAGGGATGCCAGCAGCAACACGGCCTTGCCACCAACCCCAGCAGGTGCTCCATGCCAGTCCTCCTGTCCTTGCCACATCCCTGGGCAGGGGCCAGTGCCCCCAGCGTGACCTGGGCTTTGCTCTGCGCACAGCTTTGCAGAGCAGACCCTGAAGGCCCTGCTCTGCCGACTGCACTATGAGGATGTGGTGGTGGCCATGGAAGACAAGGGTGGCTGGGACACACTGCTCTGTGCTGACACCCACCACTGTGCTGTGGGCGTGCTGGCCAGGTGAGACCCCCTGCTCCCCAGCTGTCCCCGGCATGTGTGCCCTGTGCCCCAGGTGCCCCACACAGTCCCCGTGGCCGTGGGCCAGAAGCCCTTGTCACCAAGGGACGGCCAAGGAGGCTGCAAAAGGCTGGGAGAGGAGCGTGCCCAAGAGCAGCAACCTCCCAGAGGGCTCAGCTGCCCCTTGCAGGGTGCTGGAGAAAGGCCAGACCTCTGGGAGGCAGTCCTGGGAGAGGTTTGCCCCCGCTGGCTCAGGGTTTGGCTCCTATTTCCTCCTGTCAGAGAAATGCGCCGCGCATCCGAAGCCGTGTGTTCCGCGATTGCATTCCAGCTGCTCGGGCTGCTCAGCAAAGACACGCCATGCCGGGATTTGGCCGCCCTGGCGTTCCTTGTGGAGGTGAGCCTGAAGGCCAGCGCTGCCTCGCTCAGCTGCCTCCCGGCTCTCTGCCCTCTCTTGGCCGCAGTGCCTGGGACGGAGCCCGCGCCCTGTGCTGCTGCCTGGGCCCGGCCCTGTGCGGTTCTGGGCTCCCGCCGGCCGCTCCCCCGTCACTGCCCTGTGCCTTTCAGGTCCTGGAGCGCCTGAACCTGAGTGAATGCCGTGACAGCGTCCTGGAGTTCTTGTCAAAGAACCTGCAGAGCGAGTGCAGGGGGAGGCGTCGCTTGGCACTCAGAGGCCTCGTGGTGCTCGGCACCACCAGTGTCTCGGTGAGAAGAGCGCAGGGGCTGAAGCCGTGCTGCCAGCGTGGGGCTGGGGAAGGCAGTCCCTGGGGCTCGGCTGGCCTTGGGGCACTGAGGCAGCTGCTGCCAGCTCTCCTGCCTCCTGCTGCAGCTGCCCGAGTGCTTTGGCACAGGCCTTTGGCCCCTGGGCCCTGTGGCAGCAGGATGGTGTTTCACACACTTGTGTTCCACAAGTAGATGGCCAGAAGGATGTGGAGCCTGCATGAAAGGCTCGTGGAGCTCCTGCAGGAAAATGACGGCGTCATGCTCAGGATGACCGCGGTTCTCCTCAGAGCTGTATTTCTCTGCAATGGTGCCCCAATGACCAGCGCCCTCGCCCTGCAGCTGGCTGAGGCGCTCCTGCCACTCTTTGACAACGTAAGGCTCTGCGCCTCCAGCCACGGCCAGCGGGTGCTACCCGCACACTTTGTGCCCTGTGCACTTACAGGCTGTGCCCAGCTGGGCCTGAAGCAGCTGACGCTGAGGTCTTTCTTCCTTCCTTTCATACAGGAGGATAGCCAGGTGCAGTTGAGCTCCATGTTTATCTTCCGAGACATGCTGGATCGTTTTCCGGAAGAGGAAAAAAAGGCCCTGAAGGCACACGTGCGCCAGAGCCTGCTGCCACTCTCCTTCCACTGCCATGATGAGAACCAGCGAGTGGCAGAGGTGAGGACTCGGCAGCTGCTGCTGTTCCCCTGGCAGGGGCTGGGCTGCCCCTGCCCTGGCACCTCGCAGGCTGCAGCCTCCTCCAGGCCCTGGCACAGGGACGGGTCCTGCGCCCTGGGCTGTGGGGCCATCTCCGCGTCTCTGCTGCTCTCCAGGCTTCTCAGGAAACGCTGCTTTGTGCGGCCGAGTTCCTGAAGCAGAGGGATCTCGAAAAGCTGCTGAAGAACCAGAAGCTGTGGAAGTTCACCGAGTGCCTGGTAAGGAGGGCCGGGAAGCCGCAGCCCCAGCCTGGAGAAGCCCCCTGAGCGCGGTGCTCGGTGTGCGGGCTGGCAGCTGTGCCCCTGCCCGCTGCTGCAGCCCGAGGCCGCGCGGGCTCTGCTCCAGGCTCCTGCGGCCCGAGCCGGGTGCCCATGGAGCCCCGGCCCGGCGGGGCTGCGGGGCCAACCCTTCCCTCCTGCCGCTCTCTGCAGCTGGCAGAGGACAGCAGCAGCGTGGCCGAGCACCTGCGCCGGGCCCTGCCCTACCTGCAGAGCCCACAGGAGCCCCTGCGAGAGGCGGCCGTCAGGTTCATGGGTGAGCCACGAGCCGGGCCAGGAGGCCGTGTGGGCACAGGGCTGGCAGCGCCGCTGGCAGGGAGCTGTGCCGCCGGGCCTGACAGGCTCTGTGTTCCCAGGGACGGCCGGGCGGTACCTGAGGGGGAGGAAGGAAGAGCTCCAGCTCATCTCTGAGGGTGAGTGAGGGCAGCGGGCTGCCAGCGGGGGCTGGCGGGGAGCTGCGAGCCCTGCCCCGGCTGCGGAGGGCTCTGCTCCCTGTGCGGACCAGGGCCGGCGTGGGCAGAGCACACAGAGGTTTCAGGGCACCTGGGGGATTCCTGGCCAGCAGCTTCGGGCTGATCCAGCTGGTCCCTGCTCCCTGCTGGCCATGGCCAGAGCCGGCTGGGATGGCCCTGGCACAGAGTCCCCTCGGGTCCCCTCAGATGTGGGAACTGACCATGGCTCTGTTCCTCTCTCTTTCAGCCCTTGAAGGCATGGCCAATGACATCAGTGTCCCTGTCGGAAGCCTGGCAGTTCAAACATTGTACGTCCTCCAGGAAGCAGAGAGAGCTCCATACTCCATCTTTGACAACCTGCATGATCGGCTCCGCAGGGCATGGAGGAGACGGCCTCGTCTGTCGGGGCTCGGCTGGCTGCGCTGCTGGAGCTCTGCAGAGAGCTGATCCCAGAGGCTCTGTCTGCTGGGGCCGCCCGAGCCAGCAGGAATGTTTCGTTTCTTTAAGATTGTTCTTTTCTTTCTCTTTGTTTTACTTTAGCATATAAATATAGGATGTGTTGTAATAGACAGACTCCCAGGATCTTTCTTTTGCTGCCCAGGCTCTGCAGGGCCTAGGGGAAGAGGGACAAAAGGGATCCTGGGCTCAGCAAGCTGCCCAGGCATGCAGGGTTGCAGGGAAAATGGCCAGAAGCCCCTTGGCCTTTGGTGGTTCTGCCAAAGCCTTTGTGCTGCCCACAGAGCAGATGGGCAGGGGCTGGAGCTGTGGGGATCTCTGTGAGAGCGGTGCCTGGAGATGGCCACAAGCCCTGTCCCAGGCAGGAAGCGCCATCCGTGTCCTCCTGCCCGTGTGTTGCTGCCTGGATTGCTGAGGGCTCCCAGGTGCCTCTGGATGGGCTCCTCTGGAGCTCCTGTGGGGCTGCGGCGCTGCTGCCGGGCAGGTTGGCCGGGCTGGGGAGAGCCTGAGGGGACGGGGCCACGAAGGGATGAGGGGCTGCGGAAGCCCTGACAGGACAAGGCAGTGGGAAGGCACGGGGGGGACGTGTGAGGGAGTGGGTAACGCTGGCTCGGGGAGGAAAGTGGGTTGGAGCCAAAGAGACAACTCACCCCGATGTTCCTGTGGCAAACAGAGCACGTTTATTCTCAAGCCCTTCCTTCTAAAGGGCCTTTGAAAAACCCAGTCTGGATGATTTCACTGGTCTGATCTCTGTGCCCCTTCAGATTCTGGCCTGGGGAATGCCTGCAGCCTTGGGAGAGCTGTGATGGGCCAGGCCCCTGTCAGTCAAACCAGGGCTGGTACATTCACCCCGTACAAGCCAGCCTGCACGGTGACACGGCAACAGAGTGCGAGGCACAGCTGCGGGTGCTCCCCGTGAACCTCAGCTCTGGGACCACTGCCTGCCCCAAGCTTCAGGGGCTGCAGGGGGAGCCCGGCTGGGCTCTGCCCTGGGGCCATCCTGCAGGGACAGCTGCACACAGCCTGCAGCTTTGGGAATGGCATTAGTGCCTAGGGTGGGGGGGAAGCTGCAAGTCCTTGACTGCTGTCTTGTGTTGCTGAGAAGAGGAAGGACATCTTGGAACTGGGGATGCTCTATTTGAAGTCAAGCGGGCAACTTTGTGGTGGGGGAGCTGCGTGGGCCAAAAGGACGCAGGGGTGCCGGTCAAGAGCAGCTGAAGGTGGGCCAGTGTGTGGCCAGGTGGCCAAGAAGGCCAAGGATGCCCTGGCCTGTGTCAGCAGCAGTGGGGCAGCAGGAGCAGGGCAGTGACCGTCCCCCTGGGCTGGGCAGCGCTGCGGCCATGGCTGGGAGTGCTGTGTCCACTTGTGGGCCCCTCTGAAGCAGAAAGTCCTCGAGGGGCTGGAGCGTGTGCAGAGAAGGACACGGGAGCTGGGGAAGGCTGTGGAGCGCAAGGCCAAGGAGGAGGTGCTGAGGGAGCTTTAGCCTGGACAACGGGAGGCTTGTGAGGGACCTTCAGATCCATGGATCCATACATGGCAGTGCTCACCACCAGGGCTGTTTCCCTGCCAGACATGCCCTCACTGCATCCAAGTGCTTTAGCCACCTGAGGAGGGGACACTTCCGACTTGTGGTTTGTTGGTTTGCTAGGAGGAGAAGCCCCGCTCATTTTCTCTCTTTCCAGCAAGCAAAGAGGCGTCTGCGCAACCTTTCCTGCCCTTTTCGTGCACTGCATGGGATTCTGATCCAGTTTGAGTTTTCCTTGTCTGCTGCAGCAATAACAAAGTCCGTGCTGGCTATCTCTGACTTTTCCATTTCAGAGTTTTCAAGAGCTAAAAGCTGCATTGTGCAGAGGCACCGCTGCTTGCTGATAGCAGCCAGGGAGGACTATCAAATTCATAGAGTTCATCAAATAGAGTTCTGTTGAGTTAACCCACTTTAATCTGGTCAGAGTCACTTAGAATCCCATCGCTAACAGAGTTGCTGATTTCTCCTTGGAAGTGGTATTTGTGGATCCGAGGAGGAACGAGGTTATAAATGAGAGGTAACGGCCTGTCCCTCATGCTTCTCTCTTGCCGCAGATGGCAGAAGGAACAGCGGTCTCTGCCCCGGCTCCCTCTGCTCCTGGAGAAGAAGCCAAAGAGGGGCAAAATGAGCAAGACGATTTTTAAAACTTTAAGAAGGGATAATTAGAGACAAATCAATAACAGCGCTGGGTGCTTGGCAATGGCCAGAGGCACACTGGTTAGCCATAGCAACTCTTCTTATCTACTTTTTCCATTGTATTGTCCAAAAACATATTCATAAAGATTATACACATTCAAACATTTCTTTGAACTCATTTACTTCTTCCAGGAACTCTTTTGGTTTGACCCCCAACCCGCCTTTCTAGAGTCCGTGCAGGAATCATGGATTGTTGTTTTGAGGGTTGTGTGTCACTTCCTCACAACAGCCCCCTGATCCCCGATTCAGCTGGGAGTTTGCAGGCCCCAAGTTGGGCAACTCCCTGGCGGCTCCCCTGGCAGGGGGACCCTCCTGGAGCAGTTCTGTGTCAGGAACCAGAGCTGCATTGGACTTTTTCGGTCTTCAGCTTCTGTTTATTCTTATCAAAACTTCAGCACACTGTCTGCACCAGACTCTGCGTGCAGGAAAACAGCACAAAAATGGCCAACAATCTCTTGTTACAAGGCCTTGTAAGTCTAATCAAAAACTAAGCTACCCAATTAAGAAGTGACACCTAAATTAGTTTTCTTTCTAACCCAGTAACTGACCCCTAAAGACCCACAATGCAGATTATTCTACCCAATTACAGGATACCACATAAACCCAAAAAGAAAGAGAAGAAGAAGAAGAAAGAAGAAGGGAACTCAAGACAACACCCTATATCCTCCATCTTGAACCCATCTATAACATACTAAAAATTCTAAAACCTAAATTTTTCACCCATATGACATACTCCACTACTCTCTGCAATCTCTACAATCTATTTCACACTTTTGTGGTTTCTAGCTTACTTTGAAGCTTTGGAAGTTTTCTCCATGAATGAGGGTCAAAGTCAGTGCTCCCCTGGGGGTCAGGACACCCCAGAGCAGACAGAGAAATATTCCCGGTGCCCTGGGTTTCCACATCAGCAGGCGACAGTTACTGACAGTCGAAGGGTCAGCGGCAGGGTCCTCATCACACCCGTTCCTTAAACGTTATCTGGCCATGCAGACGGTCTTAGCTACTTCCACAAGTACTTTAAATCAACATTGGCTGTTTCACAAATATCTCTGAGTTATTATTGTCAGTTAGTTACAAAAAGAAAAGCATTAGTTATTATTTCACAACTACAGCTACTTCTGCAAAAGTTAACATTCTAATGCACAACACATGGCATCCACTTCAATATTTTGTAAAAGCCAAAACTATCATGTATGTTTTTCACACTGTGCACAAACTAAACTATCATCCATGAATGATGTTCTGAGGATATGAGCTACACAGGGGCCAGGGCATTGACCACAAAAAGCTGACAAATTATACTACAGCAAAAGCAGTTAAAAGTGATTACAAGCTGTACTGTATCTAAATCGTTGCGATTAAGAATAAGTTGCAGAAGCCAAGACATCACAGCAAAAGCCACAACTACATAGTCCTTTATAACAAACCCAGGGCAGGTGTTTCCCTTGCAGGGAGCACTGGGGCCTTCCCCGGGCCCCTTCTGCCCTCTGGCCGAGCCGGGGGCATTTTCCAGCACACGCAGTTTGTACCCAAGAGTCGGTGCAGCCGAGAAGGCTCCGAGCGCCTCCTCCCAGGCTGACTCTGCAGATGCCCCGGCTGCTCTGGGCTCTGCCAGGGCTCTGCTGGGGCTCAGCTCTGGGCGAGGCTGGGCCCGCTCTCCCCTCACATTGCTCCGGGCAGCTGAGTCACAGAGGGAGGAGGAAGGGACACGCCAAGGGAGTTGTGGTTTAACAGAGTTTTTATTCAAAAAACTGCCATGCCAAACAGGCTGTCATAAGAACTGTAACAAACAGGGTGTCCTAACCAACATAACCAACTAGCACTGCCAACTACCATCACTAACTAGTTGTCCTCACTAACTACTGTAACTAACAGCTGTTTTCAAGTGCTTCATCTCCTCCGCTGCTCCCTCAGTTGCTTTGCTGCGGTGATCAGAGGGGTCAGGCTGGAGAGAGGCTTGGCTGATGATAAAAATGGGTGCTGCCCGAAGGATAAAAAAGAAAGAAATGAACCGTTACTTTCCAGAGTCAACTTCCTCACAGGCTCTGTTGCAAGAGGACAAAGGGAAATGGTCAGAAACTCAGGAGAGGGAAGCAGGCTCAGGTTAGATCTAGGGCAGAATCCTTTTGCCAGGAGAGTGGGGAAACACTGACAGAAGGTGCCCAGAGATGTGGGAGGTGCCTCCTCCCTGGGAACATCCAAGCTCAGGTCAGGCAGGGCTCTGAGCACCTGCCCTGCCTGAAGATGGCCCTGCTCCTTGTGGGGCACCAGGTGCAGATGCCCTCGAAAGGACCCTGCCAAGCCAAACCAGGCGAGGGTTCTGCTTGCTTTGCGTGTGGAACGCAGCGAGACTGGAGACTATCGGAGGGGCCCCACCAGAAAACCCCTCCCTGGCGCTGCTGCTTCCCCTGCAGCCGCTCGGCATTCACCTGCAGCAGCTCCTGGGCAGAGCAGCGCCGCTCCTCGTCCGGCTCCAGGCTGCACTCGAGGCAGTCCCGCAGCAGAGCCGACAGGCGCCCGGGCTCCTGCAGCTGCGGGGGCCCGTTGTGCCGCATCAGAGCGCGAGCCTGCAGGAAAAGCAAACTCAGCGCTCTGCCAGCTTCCTTCCCACCCACAGGTGCTCACATCGACCCCGGGTTCTCAGCCCCAGCTCCAGGGGCACTTTCCTCCCTGGCACAGATGCTGCTCACAGCTCATTTTCCTGTGCCAACCAAAAAACCCAAACCCTGGTGCTGCCACAGCCATTGGAAAGAGCTGATGCACTTGCTTCACATTTTCAGGTCATCCTCACAGCCAGAAGAGCTGCAACAGCGTAAATCCCAAAGCCAATTGTTGCTGGAGACTGCAGAATATTTGTCCGTGTTGAGGCTCGAGTGCTCTGGGAATTCCCTTCCCCATGTGCAGAAACCCCCAGCTGCTGCTCCCAGTGCGGGGTCACCCTGTGCTCACAGGGCTCTGCAGCCCCTGGAGAATTTGCCTCTGACCATGGCCTCGTTTCCTTGAAGTAAGGAGCTTCTCCTCCCACCATCTCGTGTTGCCGTGCGTGGCCAGTCCGAGCGGGCGCCGGCGGACGCGCGGGAGGAGCGGGGAGGCGGCCGCTGCTTTCCCCCGGGCGCTGCGGGCTCAGTCTGAGCGCACGGACAGACGGATGGCGGACACGGGGCTGGGGGCGGACACGGGGCTGGGGGCGGACACGGGGCTGAGGCCGGACACGGGGCTGGGGGCGGACACGGGGCTGGGGGCGGACACGGGGCTGGGGGCGGACACGGGGCTGGGGGCGGACACGGGGCTCGGGGCACACACGGGGCACACACGGGGCTCGGGGCACACTCGGGGCTCGGGGCACACTCGGGCCTTGGGGCACACTCGGGTTTATTGTGGGTGCGGCTTCCCGAGGCCCCCGGGCACCAGCGGGGTACCTGATCTATCCCCCGAACTGGGCGAGGGGGAAACGGACCCGCGGCCGATGAGGACGGGGCGGGGGCAGGGAAACCCCCCGGGAAAGCAGGAGACCCCGGGAACGGGGCGGGCATGGGAAAGGCGGGGGCGGAGGGAGCGACCGCGTGGCGAGGGGGAGGGAGGCAGGGTCGCAGCACAAGGGGAACCGCGTGGGGAGCGGCAGCGGGAATGGGGGAAAGAAGAAAAATTACAACTCCCACATTCGTCTGTGTCGTGGGAGAGAGAGGGGCAAAAACAGGAGAAAGAAAAGGGAAAAAAGGAGATTTCCCCCCATTGTTCCTTCATCTCCCCACCGCCAATTCAATAGCAGGGAGTTATCAATAAACAATAGCAGTGAACTGTGAATAATCAATAGCAGGGAGTGATCAATAATCAGTATCAGTGAGTTATCAATAATCAATAGCAGTGAAATATCAATAATCAATAGCAGGGAGTTATCAATAATCAGTATCAGCGAGTTATCAATGATCAATAGCAGTGAGTTATCAATAATCAGTAGCAGGGAGTTGTCAATAGTGAATAGCAGATTATCAATAATCAATAGCAGGGAGTTATCAATCATCAATAGCAGTGCATCATTCAATCTGCATTTTTCACAATATTACAAAGAAATCAATCCAATATTCATTATTGAATAATGATTACTAATTAATAACCATTACAAAGAAATTTATCCTATATCAATTAAGTATTGATAATTAATTAATCAATATTACAGAGAAATAAATCCAATAGTAATTATTAATTCTTTATTAATCCCAGCATTACCAAGAAATAGACGCATTATCTATTGATTATTAATTTATCAGCACTAAAAAGTAATCGATCTATTATTAATTATTAAGGATAAATAAATCAATATTACAAAGACATCAAGCCAATATTAATTATTAATTATTGATTATTAATAACCAATATTAGAGAAATCAATCCTATATTATTATTAGTTATTGATTATTAATCAATATTACAAGGAAATCAATCCTATATTATTAATTATTTATTATTAATACTACAAAGTAACAAATCCAATATTGTTAATCAAGGTTACACATAAAATAATCCACTTTAAATTATTAATTATTGATTATTAATCAATATCACAACGGAATCAACCTATGTTATCAAATATTATTAATTATTAATTACTCGATATTACAGAAACTTTTATCCACTCTTTATTATTATTTATTATTAATCAATACTACAGAGAAATAAAACCTATGTCAAGTATTTATCACTAATTAATCAATATCAAAATTATTCGTTCCAGAATTAGTTATTAATTATTGATTATTGATCAGTGTCACACAGGAATTGATCCCATGCAAAACCAGCCCAGGACAGCAACAGGGGGCTGGGGATGGAAACTGAGCACAGCAACAGGGGCTGGTGATGTTTGCCTGTGAAGGAACCGAGTTGCCACAGGCACTCAGAGAGGTTCCATGGGGACTTCCCAAGTCTCCAGGCTCTTCAAGAGCTGGAATGTCACACACAGAGAGACAGGGGCTCCGTGGAGACCTGCCAGGGCTTTCTGGGGATGGTAAGGAGCCGAGTGGTCAGAGGCAGTCACAGCCATTCCATGGTGACATCCCAGCGCACCTTGTGCTGCAAAGGCACCGATCTGTCACGGGCACTCACAGGGGCTCCACGGTGACATCCCAGGAGTGCCCAGGCTGCCAAAGAGGCGGGAGGTCCCAGACACTCACGGGGTTTCTGTCACAAGTAGAGTGGGAGCTTCGGGCAAAAGCATTATTTCTTTATTGGAGAAACTCCTGCTGAATCATGAGATGGAGAAATGATACCCAGCAGCCACCCTGAAACCCCAAAACCCTCCAGGACGTTTAGACTTCTAAAATTTGTTCAAAGAGAGGAGCCTCTGAGTGGCTGGATCCAATCCCAGCCCCAGACTTTCTCAAAGGTGTAAAAGATTGGACAGGTGGAATTGAACTTCAGTGCAATTTGTCCCACAGGATTAGCGATGGAATACCAGATATATTTATAGAAATGTAATGGAACAGTTCATACTGAGTGCTACCACACAGCACTTACAGGATGGCCAGGGTACCAGACCCAGGCAGCATGGGTTTACACAGGGCAGATCATGTCTGAGCAACCTGGTCTCCTTCTATGACCAGGTGACCCACTTGGTGGATGCAGGCAGGGCTGTCTGTGGATGTTGGCTATTTAGACTCCAGCAAGGCCTTTGATGCTGTCTCCCACAGCACACTCCTGGAAAAGCTGCAGCCCACGGCTGGGCCAGGAGCGCTCTGTGCTGGGTTAGGAACTGGCTGGATGGCCGGCCCAGAGAGCGGTGGTGAGCGGTGCTGCATCCAGCTGGGGACAGGCACCAGTGGTGTCCCTCAGGGCTCTGTGCTGGGACCAGTTCTATTGAATATTTTTATAGACGACATGGATGAGGGCATTGAGTCCTTCATTGGTCAATTTGCAGAAATACTAAGCTGGGAGCTTGTGTTGATCTGTTGGAAGGAAGGAGGGCTCTGCAGAGAGATTTGGATCGATTGGACGGATGGGCAGAGTCCAACAGCATGAAGTTTACTAAGTCTAAGTGCCGAGTTCTGCATTTTGGACACAAAAATCCCCTACAGCATTACAGGTTGGGGACAGTGTGGCTGGACAGTGTCCAGGCAGAAAGGGACCCGGGGGTGCTGGTGGACAGCCGGGTGGATATGAGCCAGCAATGTGCCTCGGTGGCCAAGAAGGCCAATGGCTCCTGGCCTGCATTAGGAATTGTGTGACCAGCAGGAGCAGGGAGGTCATTCTCCCCCTGTACTCGGCGCTGGTGAGACCGCACCTTGAGTGCTGTGTCCAGTTCTGGGCCCTCAGTTCAGGAAGGACATTGAGATGCTTGAGCACGTCCAGAGGAGGCAACGAGGCTGGTGAGGGGCTGGGAACACAAGCCCTGTGAGGAATGTTTGAGGGAGTTGGGGTTGTTTAGCCTGGAGAAGAGGAGGCTCAGAGGTGACCTTACTGCTCTCTACAGCTCCTGAAGGGAGGCTGCAGACAGGTGGGGTCGGTCTCTTCCACCGGGCAGCAACTGGCAGAACAAGAGGACACAGCCTCAAGCTATGTCAGGGAAGGTTTAGGTTGGATATTAGGAAAAACTTTTTCACTGAAAGAATAATAAAATACTGGAATTGTCTTCCTAGGGAGGTGGTGGAATCACTATCTCTGGATATGTTTAAAAAAAGACTGGATTTGGCACTTGGTGCTATAGTCTGGTTGTGGTGTTAGGGCACAGGTTGGACTTGATGATCTTAGAGGTCTCTTCCAACCTCATTATTCTGTGATACCGTGATTAAAAAATAAAGTTGTTTCCTTTTACTCTCTTAATCTTAATAAGAGTGCGTGAGTTATTTTGTGTCCTGGTGCAACAGTGTGACATCACAGTGGCTGTGTAACCTCACAGAGATCAGTGTCACATCACAGAGATGTCTGTGTGACATCACAGGGTCAGTGTGACATCACAGGGGCAATATGACATCCCATAGATGTCTGTGTGACATCACAGGGGTGTGTGACATCACAGGAAGGCTGTGTAATATCACCCTGCACTTTTAAATGCTTTAAAGTTTTCTTAAAAGTTTTCTCTGCCTCCTAATGTTTACATATTTCTACTAGAGTTCTCATGCACTGCTCATGTAAATAATAATTGTTGTACTTTCTTCCTTATAAGAAGAGAGAATTGATGCAGTGTTAGTTTAACCAGTGAAGTTAGAGAAGTAGTAATTACATCCTCCAATCCATTGCTGCTTTAAAAATTTCATATATTACATAAAGCAAAAATAAAAGTTACTTCCTTTTTCTCTTTTAATCTTAATATGACAATGTGAGTTATTTTGTGTCCTAGTGCAACAGTGTGACATCACAGGGGCTCTGTGACATCACAGAGACTTGTGTGACATCAAAGGAACAGTGTGACATCACAGAGATATCCGTGTGACATCAAAGAGAGCTGTGTGTCATCACAGGGGCTGTGTGACATCACAGATATGTCTGTGTGACATCACAGGGGCAATATGACATCACAGAGATGTCCGAGTGACATCACAGGAGGTCGTGTGATGTCACAGGGTCAGTGTGACATCACAGAGATGTCTGAATGACATCAGAGAGAGCTTTGTGTCACAGGGGCAATGTGGCATCACAGATATGTCCAAGTGACATCATAGAGAGCTCTGTGACATCACAGCGGCAATATGACATCACAGAGATGTGTGTGACATCACAGGTGCTGTGTGACATCACAGATATGTGTGTGACATCACAGGGTCAGTGTGACATCACAGAGATGCCCCTGTGACATCACAAAAAGCTGTGTGACATCAATGGGTCAGTGTGACAGCACAGAGATGTCCGAGTGACATCATAGAGAGCTCTGTGACATCACAGCGGCAATATGACATCCCATAGATGTCTGTGTGACATCACAGGGGTGTGTGACATCACAGGAAGGCTGTGTAATTTCACCCTGCTCTTGTAAATGCTTTAAAGTTCTTTTAAAAGTTTTCTCTGCCTCCTAATGTTTACATATTTCTACTAGAGTTCTCATGCACTGTTCATGTAAATAATAATTGTTGTACTTTCTTCCTTATAAGAAGAGAGAATTGATGGAGTGTTAGTTTAACCAGTGAAGTTAGAGAAGTAGATAGGTCCAAAGGCCAAATGGACTGTTGGATCTCACCCCAATGTATGGTTCATCCCACACCTGTAACCCTCCCCTGAAGCATCAGGTGTCTGTGACCCCATTGGCCCAGGTCTTGTTCCAGCCCACCTTGAAACCCCCTGATAAGGAGTCTCTGAGGAGCCAGACGCCCTCTTGGAATTTCCCCTCTCTTGGAATTTCCCCTCTCTTGGAATTTCCCCTCTCTTGGAATTTCCCCTCTCTTGGAACTCCCCTTCTCCTGGAACTCCCCTTCTCCTGGAACTCCCCCCTCTTGGAACTTCCACCCTCTCCTGGAGCATCCTCTTGTCTCTCTCTCCCCCTTGTCTCTCCCTCCCCACTCCCTCAGGCCCTGCCCCGTGCTGCGTCTGGCGGCTCCACGCAGGACCTTTCCCCCTCTGTAACAAACCTGATATTCTAAGAGCAGCCTTCAGAGATCTCTCGTCTCCATCCATCCAAACCCTCCTGGAGCACAGCGTCCCCGCACCTCTCTGCCACACAACCTGGCAGCAGCCTGGGCCAGTTCCCCTCTGCCTGAGCGTGCCAGGCAGCAGACGGGGCTGGGACAAGTCCCTCCCAGCTGTCCCTGTTTGTGTGCCAGAAGCCTCTAAGGGTGGGGTGGGGGGCACAAACCAGGGCCCCTCAGAGGCTCACAGGGAGGCCCCACAGCCCCTCCTGCCCACAGCCAAATCTCTCCAGACTGCTCTGCCAGGGCTGGCAGCCTTGGGTTCCTCTGCCACCATTGCATGGCTCTGTACCCTGCATTGCTCTACTTCAATTCTTTTGCTGTTAGGTAAAACAGAACACACCACCCAGTTCCAAAACAGGGCAACAGAGACAGTCAGAAAACAGAGCACCCGAGAGGTGGAGGTATTCAGTTTTGTGAAGAACAGGCCCCAGGGAGACTTTATTGCCGCTTTCCAAGACTTCAGAGTGGCTTTGAAGAAAGTGGGGGACACCTTTTTTAACAGGGCCAGTTACAATAGAATGTGGGTGAATAGTTTTAAACACAAAGGGGATCTAATCAGAGTAGGTCTAAGGAAGAACTGGTTTACTCGGAGCATGGTGCCACCCTGGCACAGGTTGTCCCAGGACTTGTAGGTGCCCATCCCTGGAACCATCCCAGGTCAGGTGGGACAGGGCTCTGAGCAACCTGATCTCTTTAAAGATGTCCCTGCTCATTGCAGGACACTTGGACCAGAGGACTTTACAGAGCCCTGCCAGCCCAGCCCAGCCCAGCACTGCTCAGCATTTTCATTTGAAGAGCACCAAGAGTGGAGGTGAGGAGGAAGGGGGCTCATCTGATGCCTCGGGCCTCACTGGAGGAGGAGCCCATCCCTCGCACACTCTTTCACCTGCAGCCCCTTTGCGTTTTACCTGCAGGAGCTCGTCGGCAGACCAGCGCCGCTCCTCGTCTCTCTGCAGGCAGCAGCTCAGGAAGTCACGCAGCCAAGCCGAGAGGAGCTTGGGCTGCCGCAGCTGAGGCGTCCCTGCTGTGGCTCTCAGGTGTTTAGTCTGGAGAAAAAGGGAACACGAGGCTCCACCTGCTTCTTTCCCATCTGTAACTGCTCTCCCAGAGCCCATTGTTTAACCTCCATTCTGCAGTGGCAGTTTCTGCCCTGGCAGAGACCCAGGGATGACTTTCCTTTACCAACAAAAAACCCAAACTCTGATGCAGCCACAGCTTTGCCAACATCCTGCCAATCTTGCCTTGGCAGCCGATTTCATTGACTGACCTAGTTAGTGGGAACTACATCAGCAAAAGCACATTTCCTTCTCTGAGGATTCACACCAGCTGGACAGCCTTTTTGGAAGGGGGACTTTGCTATGTTAACTAATTCCAAGGATTAGTACATGAACGGCATCTCTGCAGTGCTTGTTGGTCCCTTAAGCACAGTTGCCATAGAACAAGACTCATCAAGTTTTTTGTCCTGCTCTTGAAAACTATGGTAATTGGAAGAAAAGAAAGGAAATCCACCAGTTAATCCCCAGGTAAAGAAACAAACATTTACAATCCCATATTCAACACAGACACATTAAGATGCATGCACAAATGTATTGGGATGAAGATGCCTGCTTGGGCACACAGGAGCCACCTGCAGCTCTGTCTCTCAGCAGTCTAAAAATTTCATCTTCCCTTATGCAGCAAAAGAAAAACTTTTCCTGCGCAGAAAAAGGAGAAATGCCATCCCTATGGACACCCTCTGCTCATTTGCCTACTCAAGTCAATGCATGAGTGGTAGGCCCATCCCAGAAAATGCCAGGAAACAAACAGGAGGTTTTGGCAGGCTCTCCCCCTCACCAGGCTCCGGCTTGGTGACGTGGAGAACGTGGCTTGGGCTATGAGAGAAACACGGCCACTAAGTGTTTCAGCAACACTGCACAAGAAGCAGAAGGGACTCTGTGGCCTTGAAGCCTCATGCCCAGGTTTCAGGCATGTTTCCCAGTGAGCAGAAACTGCACAGGGGGTTAAGTTCCTCTCTAGAAACCACTGTTTTGGAAACTTTGCTGGGTTTGGGGTTCTTTCCTTCATTTCTGGAAGGATAACACCAGTTCTAAGATGCTCGTTTCCTGCTATTGGGGTCATCTACACAGACAAAAGAACTGGAACCGCTTATAACCCAAAGGAAAGTGTTGCCTGAGAATGGGGTTTGTTTGCATGTGGTAAGGCTTGAGTTCCACACTGATGCAACCAAAACTGCAGCAGATGCTGATGTGTTGCAGGGACATTTTTAGGTGGAAGTCGTTCCAGCAGATGGCAATGGGATTTTGTCCAATGGCACGCAGAACACGGGGCAGGTGAGAAAGACAAGCGGGATCAGTATTTGCTCCTTACCGTGGCAGGACTTTGGTTCCAGTAAGGAACATTTTGTTCTACCATTTCAATTCCCACAATTCCAAAAGACCATATGTCCACTTTGGGGCCATATGGTTCACGCATCAGCACTTCAGGCGCCATCCACCAAGGAGTCCCGGCTACCGAGGACGGTCTCTTCTCCTCAGGGCCGAGCTCAACAGAGATGCCAAAATCAGCTGAGGGGAAAGCAAAATACTGGTTTTATTTGAATTCTGTGCAATTAGGAAATCGAGCAAAGGAATTCCCCAGTAGAAGTTTGAGAACGTGCTGTTGAATGTCCTGGACAACTGTCCCTGCTCTGTTTCCTCAGGACTTTAGCCAAGGAAATATGGTATTGGCGACTTAAAAAATCCCCACATTTTTTACACTGCCTTCAGCAGTGGCTTTTGTTCTTTGGAAGCTTTAGACTTGTAACTGCCTCCCTCTGGAAGGGACACACACAGAGCAATGCCACTCTTGGCTGCTTGTTCCTCGTCATACCTCTGTGCACATTGCAACCGTGCCATCAGCTCACAGTGGGGGGGTCCCTGCACTGCCCCCAGCACCATTTTTGGGGAGCTGGCAGTCACTCAAAGCAGCCCCTCACCCCACATCCCTGGAACACTGCACCTGACCAAGGATATACTGACCCAGCTTGACAGAGCCGTCGGCTCCGAAAAGGATGTTGCTGCTCGTCACATCTCGGTGGATTACGTGGTTTGAGGGAAGAAAATCCAGTCCTTGCAGGCACTGAGAGAGAAAACAGAAACAGGAGGGCAAAAATTAGCGCTGTGATTCCATGGCACAAGAAAAGAAACAAAGAATCTAAAAGATGCCCTGTGCGGGGGAATGGCGAGTAATGGCAGAACGCAGCGCCATTGAGAGGAAGAGCTGCTGCTCCAACACTTGCAGAGCAGGACCTTTCTAAGGAAAGGCATGCCAGCTTTTGAAAGAGCAACAGCACCTGCTGTTGTTGTACACTGTCCCCTGCAAACCAGCCAGGATGACTGCTGCTGCAGTGGGTGTGCTCAGAAGCAAAGAGCATTTTGGCTGCACTACTGTGGTTTTTAGCTGAGGACTGAGGGAAATGAGTCTCCCCTTTTTCCTTTGCTGTTCGTTTCAAATCCTGCTACCAGCACCTTTGCTTTTACAAGCAAGGAATGCAGTGAAGACAGGCAAAGGTTTAAGGAGGCAAGATGGAGAACAGCAAATACAAGAGGCAGAGTGAGAATACAACAGCAGGAGATAAGAGTACAAGAACAGAGTACAGTGAGTGCGAGGGCACTGGCAGGCATTTCACTTGAGATGCTTTTACTTGCCCATAGCATACCAGCAATGCAGAAACAAAGCTTTATACATGAAACCTCTCCTGTTCTGAGCCCCTGTTTCCCAGACAATCCTGCCCAAACCCTTGGAAGCACAGGTGGGATTGCTGACCTCCTGACTGATGGATGCTATGTCACCTTCACACAGGCAGGTCTTGCTGATGACATCGCTCAGAGTGCCTCCGTCCATGTACTCCATGAGCAGCCAGAGTTCCTCACCCAGAAGGGAGCTGAAAGAAGGAAACAAGGGCACGGGCATGAACGTACATGGCTACATTGCTGTTTGGAAAAGACAGGGGTTGATTCTTGTTTTCAGGTCCCTTTGAGACAAAGGCAGAATCAAAGCAATAGACATTCCCTCTTGGCTGTGTGTTGTTTGCAATCTGTGCAGTCTCAAGGAGAAAAGAACAGCTGTGAAAAAGGAGATGTCTTAGATGGCCAGCAAGCGAAAAGCGTGGTTTAGTAACAGCCCAGATAAAAAGCCTGTCACGCATGGTGTTTCTGGAAATAAGCACCTAGTCTTCCTGGCATGCATAGCAATGGAAAAGAAGGGCAACAATCCAAGGGAAATCAGCTTTAGGATGGTTCATCAGCATTTAAGAAACTTTAAAAAATCTATCCCAAAAAAATGTGGAGGCAGTGAACTTAGAGGGTATTAACTTAGTAAGATACAGATGATCCAGGTTTTGAATAATTTCTGAATAATTTTCGAACTACGTGCGCCAGGGAAGACTCATGCAGACAAGATGCACTCTCTTCTCATCCATTGGAGATGAGTAGAGAAATATTAATACAGAATAATTAACAGCTCTACTTTCTAGAAGTGACCAAAGTGGGTTTTTAACCTCTCGTGTTTGCTGTATGTAAACACACATTCATGGGATAAGTCCATGACCACTCACCTGTCTAAATAATTCACAACACTGGGACTCCTATGCCTCTTCATGATACTGATTTCATTAACGGTTACTTGCTTCCTCTTCAATCCTTTAAGTCTTATTTTCTTTATGGCAACCTAAAATGACACTGAAAATCAGTAACTTGAGAAGTTGGTGGCACGAGACCACAAGGCACATGGAGCGAGTGATTTTGCAATGACGCAGCCGAGCTGTGCCAAACTGCCTCGTGATTAGGCACTGCAGGAACTGGAACTGACATTGCAACAGCCCATTGCTCCGCGCCCTTGGAGGCCAGTTACAGGACACGGGGCCACTGAGGTTTTGCCGTGTCCACTTGCTAACAGTGGTGTCTCAGCTATCACTCACAAACCTCTGAGCACACTCCCTGCTGCTTTGTATGGGATTCAGAAGAAGTGATCCATGCCTCAATACTCTGTGGATACAACTTGGGCGATGGCTTTTAGGGATGCCTTGCAGATCTCTCCCTGTGTGCAGTTCCCAAGTGCAGCACTGCAGGTGGCTGAGGAACTGCCAGTAACTTTCAGATGCATTTTCTGGCAGGCAGAGATGAGAATTCAGGACTCGGAAGCTGTCGCCCCAAAGAGCAGTGAGATGCTCTAAGGCACCACCTTTGTTTTAGCAATTGAGAGCGAGTGAGCACATCCTTCTCCGAAATGAACTGCTGCCCTCTGGGCCTTCTTTTTGGCAGCTGAGAAGGACAAAGACTGTCCCAAATGTATTTTGCAGGCTGGCACCAGTCTGTGCTTCTTTTGCCTTTTCAGCACAGCTCTACCCAAAGCTCTGGCCACAGCTGCCCACACCAGAGGAGAAAGCCCCTCGGGTGCAGCAGAGTCTGCGGGGGCTGTTGACATTTACCTCTCCTCCTGTGGCTTTGTTGAGTGCTCTAACCACATGTCCAAAAGTCCTAGAAACAAAACAGAAGCAGAGAAAGGAGAAGCTGTTTATTTCGTAGAGTGAAAGCCAGCCCACACAGGAGATCTCTGCTGTAAATGCCTAAAACCTGCAGGATGCAGGAGGGCTCTGTCAGAAGGCAGATGATCCTTTTTCCTCTCAAATGCATGGGCAGTGCCTGGGCCGGTTGCTGAAGCGTTGGGGTTTACTGCCTCAGCTCCTAAAGGGAATTTATTCTTTCATCTTGGGTTTCAGTTTCTAAACTGTGTGGTTCCTATCCTGACCGTGCAATATTTCCTTCCACAAACCATGGGAAAGAAATGTTCCTGAGAACTGTTATTTCACAGCTTTGATAGGGGGTAGGTTGCTCTTTCAGGCAAGCAAGATTCTTCTTATTTCATTAGTGTGGCAGTGTGATTTTGAGACATACAAAAATGCTAAAGAAGTTAACACAGAGCTGTCCCACACTTGAGAGACAAAGAGATCTTCCAGGTCCTGTTCCTTGATGCAGGCAAGACCTCGGCAGCATGGAGATGTCTCTGACAATGCTTTCTGAGCACACACACAAATTCTGAGCAGCACTGAAGCGATGGGACAATCTATCCCCAGTATCTGAACACGTTTGCAGCTGGCCTGACTTCACACTGGATAGATCTTCCAGTGAAACACCTGATATACCAGCAAAACACCTGGCCCATGGTTGTGTAGAAGTAACTGTGGCTGGACTCACCCCTTGCCAATATCTTCCAGTTCAGTGTATTTCATCATGGGATTTTCCATGTTCACCATTTTCCTCCCGTTGTCCAGGCTAAAGCTCCCTCAGCACCTCCTCCTTGGCCTTGCGCTCCACAGCCTTCCCCAGCTCCCGTGTCCTTCTCTGCACACGCTCCAGCCCCTCGAGGACTTTCTGCTTCAGAGGGGCCCACAAGTGGACACAGCACTCCCAGCCATGGCCGCAGCGCTGCCCAGCCCAGGGGGACGGTCACTGCCCTGCTCCTGCTGCCCCACTGCTGCTGACACAGGCCAGGGCATCCTTGGCCTTCTTGGCCACCTGGCCACACACTGGCCCACCTTCAGCTGCTCTTGACCGGCACCCCTGCGTCCTTTTGGCCCACGCAGCTCCCCCACCACAAAGTTGCCCGCTTGACTTCAAATAGAGCATCCGCAGTTCCAAGATGTCCTTCCTCTTCTCAGCAACACAAGACAGCAGTCAAGGACTTGCAGCTTCCCCCCCACCCTAGGCACTAATGCCATTCCCAAAGCTGCAGGCTGTGTGCAGCTGTCCCTGCAGGATGGCCCCAGGGCAGAGCCCAGCCGGGCTCCCCCTGCAGCCCCTGAAGCTTGGGGCAGGCAGTGGTCCCAGAGCTGAGGTTCACGGGGAGCACCCGCAGCTGTGCCTCGCACTCTGTTGCCGTGTCACCGTGCAGGCTGGCTTGTACGGGGTGAATGTACCAGCCCTGGTTTGACTGACAGGGGCCTGGCCCATCACAGCTCTCCCAAGGCTGCAGGCATTCCCCAGGCCAGAATCTGAAGGGGCACAGAGATCAGACCAGTGAAATCATCCAGACTGGGTTTTTCAAAGGCCCTTTAGAAGGAAGGGCTTGAGAATAAACGTGCTCTGTTTGCCACAGGAACATCGGGGTGAGTGGTCTCTTTGGCTCCAACCCACTTTCCTCCCCGTGCCAACGTTACCCACTCCCTCACACGTTCCCCCCGTGCCTTCCCACTGCCTTGTCCTGTCAGGGCTTCCGCAGCCCCTCATCCCTTCGTGGCCCCGTCCCCTCAGGCTCTCCCCAGCCCGGCCAACCTGCCCGGCAGCAGCGCCGCAGCCCCACAGGAGCTCCAGAGGAGCCCATCCAGAGGCACCTGGGAGCCCTCAGCAATCCAGGCAGCAACACACGGGCAGGAGGACACGGATGGCGCTTCCTGCCTGGGACAGGGCTTGTGGCCATCTCCAGGCACCGCTCTCACAGAGATCCCCACAGCTCCAGCCCCTGCCCATCTGCTCTGTGGGCAGCACAAAGGCTTTGGCAGAACCACCAAAGGCCAAGGGGCT